GTGCACGTAAGCACACTCACTGCTCTGCCATCAGTGCGTTGCAGCACTAACCTGTACAGGGTTAGGGTTAGCCGTCACTGAGCAGTAGCTCCCTACAACAGAAGAATGACGTCCACAACGCAGAGCTTCAAGAGTTTCGGACGCAAACAAACAGAAAAACAACAACAGGAAACCAGCAGCAAACATCTACCAGCTGATGGACAGTTTGACAGAAGCAGAAATGCGGTGGCGTGCCAAGTCCCTGCATAATCCTATTGATCCTCTGCCCCAATAACTCAAGTGTAATGACCCTACGTTCATCATTTACGCTGGCGTACGGTTCACTAGCAACATAAGCCCATCACACAAGGGCCACGAGTTAAAATACTGCAGCCTGCCAAGTCTGTCCGAAGCACTTCCTGTTTACATCAGAACGCTGACATACTGCTGCACACGAGCGCCGCTCGTCACAATCTGCCAGCAAATATTGGCGTAATTGTCACGATAAATATATATCACCTGTGTCAATACGCTGCTGGCACAGCATTGGACCATAAATGTGGCGGTACTTAAATAAAACATGACCATGTGGCGGATGCGTTTTCTGTAACAGCTCGGCTAAACTGAGTCCACTCATAGCTGTTGCTAGGTAACCGGCTTTTGGATGCTGAGGCGTCTCCTCAGCTGTGATGTCCTGACACATGCTTACAGTCAGCAACGTGATGCAACATCATAAGAGCTGAGCACACCATGAAAGGACGCAGAACAATAAAAACAGCTCCATCAGAAGAAGCGGAAAAAACACTACAATTCACACAAACACAAGCGATCGGATCACCAGTCCGGTTCTGAATAAAGCAGCAGTTCTCCCAGAGCTCCAGGATCTGCCGTCAGCAGCAGCTTCATTCCAAACACTTTGTCCAGTAAATAGACTCCCTGCAGCTCACTGGACACTCGACTGTCTGTCAGTGTAACAACAGCATCAGGTCCAGCGTCCATCCAACAACCTTGTCTGCGCTTTCATGTCATTTCCTGTGCGTGTGCGTGTGCGTGTGCGTGATGTGACTCTCAGTGTTTGGACGTGTGACTGTGTGACAAAAGGCAGGGATGGAAATCATAGGCAGAGAGTGTGTATTGTGGTAAATGGGTCAGAACATGGACGGCACGAGGCAGGCAGGACGGCTCCTCTCACAGCACGCATCCTGCTTCTGGATCAGAACCCTCAGACCCACGAGAAAACACAAAACAACAGCAAACGTCCTGAAGTGTTTCCTCCCACAGCTACAGCGACAAACGCCGTCCTACAGAACTCTGGAACACACCGGGTCTGGTCCTGGAAACAGCTTTCAACTAAGAGGCACACACACACATCTACACACACACTCACACACACACACATTTACACACACACATCTACACACACCNGAGCGTGTGAAAGCACACCCGCCATGTTCTATGCGGTTTTCTAAAGTGTGTTGCAGGGTTTCATGGGTCTTACCGTGGTCTCGTCCTCGTGCAGCACCTGGTCGTATCCGCTGAGCGCCACACAGAAGATGATGGCTGTGACGTCCTCAAAACAGTGGATCCACTTCTTCCTCTCCGACCTCTGACCTCCCACATCAAACAGCCTGACGGAGACGGACACGGATCGTAAATCATCTCAGTCACGAAGGAATCGTTTCATTTACTCGACATTTCGTCTTAAACGTGGTTCAGCTCCATTCGGTAGCGTCGCAGCAACACTTCAGGAGTCTGGCTCTTTCTTGTTCATGCCGTCTGCGTTTCCATTTGTCAATGAAGGCATTTCCTGGATTTCTATTGGATCATTTATCCAACACCGGCCCGTTTTACGTTCAGGTGGAACACCTCTGGCCCTCTGATTAAAGTGATCTGATGCTGTCAGCTTCAGGTTTCACACTCTGTGACGGGGACCTGAAACCTAAAGGTTCTGCTTATGGGACGTGTTGTGTTCAGTTAGAATACTGACCATCATTTTCTTTGCTCACATTCTTACTTTTGTTCTCTTTCTGATGTGGTTCAGCTGAACCCACTGAACACATGAACCTCCAGGATGGACGTGGGTCTGTCCATCCTGGAGGATGACCAGGGTTTTAGCCTGACTCCTTCAAAGTGTAAATTAACCCTCTGAACCCAAAGCAGCCAGTTTTGGGGCATTTTCTTTTATTGCTGTCACATCTTTACTGGAATAGAAATCCATAGAAGCAGCACAGCTGTGACCAGCAGAACTCATGCAGAGAGATTTTCTGCAATATTATACGTTTTTTTATAAGTCATAAAAAACCCAAAAGTCATATGTCTTTATTTGTTTACAATGTTTTCCAAAAGCCCAGCTGTGGGCTCCGACTTCTGCAGACCCAGTAGAGATAAACTTGATCAAACTCTTCACTGTGCTGAGTGAATCTCCAACAACCTGCTGCTCTGTGTCGCGTGACTGAACCATTGATTCTACTGATCGGGTCGTTTTATTTCTCCCGTGTGCTCGGCGTGAACACCGTCTGCAGTTCATCTGAAAACATGACTGTTGCTCAGCTGGATCGCGACTTCTCGTTGGAGCCGAGAGGCGCACAAGCTTCAGCTTTATTTACAGGATCTTGTGCAAACTGTATTTTTAGCAACATGACATGTGGAATAAAGTGATTCTGATCAGATTAAATAACTGTTCACACATCAGGGGACCTCCGCTGAACATCTGACGTATTCGCTGCTTTTACTCGTTAACGCTCTGATGAATTGTGGACTTCTGGCTATTTCTGAAGTGAAGAATGATTTCCAACCACCAGAGGGATCAATCGTCTGAAATGACGAATATAGGTGAGGCGTGGGAGCACTCTGATGTATTCCTCCTGTCTGTGCATGGGTTTCTGATGACCACTGGGGGCAGTAGTCCTTCAGTGCTGGCCTATTACATTCAGAACTTTGGTCCGACACTACACCCAGGATCTTCCAACTAAAACCCCACCTGACTGATTTTAGGAGGAACACAGCAGAGCTGAGGCTGAACCGTATACGTGGACCAACGTTAGCTGTTGTTTCCATAAGCTGCACATGACCTCATTCTCATGCCCGAGTTTATTTTTACGGCGTTCAGAATAGACTGGAAAACCACCAGAAAGGAGCGAGTCCAGAGCGAGCCGGAGCCGGTGGTGTGTGTGCTGGTGTAATGGTAGGTAGGCTGGTAGGACAGGAGCCGCCCACTCGCTGCTGGCTGCCAGGAACAGCAACATCCAGGCTTCTGAACACACACCCAGCTGGACTCCTGCATCACTCAGCAGCACAGCGAACAGTCTGTGGATCTGAACAGTAACTAGCTGCTGAACGCAAAGGTGCATCCACCCTGAAAAATAATTGGTGCCAGCAGTTCATTAGCCTTCTGCAGCGCGTTGCTATCGCTGCTTTATATTCATGCACTCAGGGGCAGGAATATTAAATCAGACTCCTCCTTCCTCTTCCCGTCCCTCCTGCCATCCCATAATGCCTCCCCTCTCTGTCATCATTCCCACAGCTCCTCGTTCTAATTGAATCAGACCTCATTAAAGATGGCAGAGAATCATAAATATAGACGCTTGTTTAAAGCATTTAATCTCATTAATTACAGACCGGAGCTCCTGCACGGATCGAGGAGCAGACGTTGGGTTAGTTCTTCTTTCACAGGCCGATGCTCACCTGAAGTGGAGGTTTTTGAAGGTGAAGTGTGTCTCGACGATGCCCGTGGTCTTCACCCGGGTCCTCAGGATGTCCTGCTCTGTCGGCTGGTAGTCTGCTGCACCGATCCGATCTAGGCTGTCCAGGTAGCTGCACGGGAAAACAGAGCGAACAGACTGAATCAGCAGCAAGAGAATAACTACCCCTCACAGTCTGAGCCTGTTCGGTGAGCATCTACACCTCACAGCAACATGCATTTCCCCTTTTCCAGACTAGTGATTGCCTGTTAGCACCAAGCGTAAAAAAATCAAGCACAAACTGTTTCGAACATTCAGAACTGCCTCCGCCTTAAACCCACCAGCGTCTCCTTCCTCGATGTCACAGCCAACCCCAGTGACTCAAAGTTCCCGCTGTAGGAGTTTCACTTCTGCGGTGCTCTAACCCACTTTGCATGATGGCCTAACGATGTATGTTCCGGCTCAGGTGGGTTAGCGTTACATCACGAGCACCGTACGCCGCCCGCCCACTAACTACTGTCTCTGATAATGAGAATAAACGAGTCCACGGGTCAGGCTCTGGCTCTACCTGCTGCCTTTCAGGGAGGCCAGAGGTCAGCAGCTGGTCTCTGGTGAATCACACCAGCTCACACATCAGCTGCTACCTCCAGCTCCGTCCACACATTATATGTGAAAAGAAGAACTTCTTGTTTGTTCTTATTTACTGGAAAACAGAAAATCTATTAGTGCACACATTTCTAATAATCCTACCATCAAAGCACGTATTCTCCCCCACTGGTGCACAACAAATGAATCAAAGCAGCCGCTGAGCGTCTGAAACGCACACATGCAGCGTGTCCACTTGGTAAAAAGTGAGAGAGGGAAGTGGGCCGTTGGTGAGACTGTTGGGTTATGTAATGGAATATCCCTGGAAGTGGACCTTTATTTTTTAATGTAGCATAAATCAAATAATCCTGAACAGTCCAGTCCAGAGACTCTGTGGCTGAAACAACGATCACTGCAGCTGCTGCATTAGTGCTCAAGGAAAAGAACAAAGAGACGGAGTTTTTTATTTTTATTCAGTCACTGAGAGGCTTTCGTTTCCCTCTGTCCTGTTCCCTTCCACTTGAATTCTAACACGAAGAGCAAAACCAGGTTGTTTTTCCACTCGACCAGTCCAACAGTACTGGTTTTTCTAAGCTGGAGGCTGTCAGGCTGAAAGACAAAGGAGCAGGAGAGATGACCCGAAGACGTACTCACACATCAGTACATCCATTTAGTGTAATGGATTCAAAGTTTGCATTTATAGATTAGCCAGAGTTGTTTCAGAGCTTTTAAAGGATGCTCGGTTACTTCCAGGAGAAGAGATCCACGCTGGGAGATGGAGGAGATGTTGGATAATTGTAACAGGAAGTGGACGCAGCGTCCGTGCACGTACACCGACCCGCTCTGCAAACAGGTTCAGGTTAACAACTATTGATCCCACAGAAAGGAATATGGGTGATATGCGGTTTGGAAGGAAGCAGATATGTGGAGCTGAAGGGATGCAGAGGGCAGCGTTTTCTTTCTGAGCCACAACCCAGATTTATCTTTCAGACTGAAAATAAAACCAAGCACATCCATCATATCCTCAGCAGATACGCCTGCTGGGCTCCCACAGATCGTCCGCTGACTGGATCAATGTCAGTGATTTGGTGTTAAAACATGTTTCAATTTACAAAATGAAAGGGCTGATGAGATTACAAGGCAGTCAGTCAGACGCTGCCGACGCTTCATCACCGACGCAATCCACAGCAGATCAATTATACGGCGTGGCTCATGAGACGCACGCTGGAACTCCACTCAAGGCATGACTCTGCAATAAAATACACATTCCAAGACAAAGGTGCTGCAAAGAAACACCACAAAAGGCCTTCAGCAGAGACATACAGCCATCCTGTAAGATGCAGGAACTCTACTGATGTGCCACCTGCTGTCAGCGCTAACAGCAGCTAACACCGTGTGATGGAGTGTCCTGAATACAAGTAAAAAGATTAAAAATACAGCTGCGTGCTCGTCTCCACCAGGCTGTTGTTACCACCATTCGGCTAGCTAACAGCAGTAAACAGCTGCTCTGCTCTGTTTGTTTCTACAGGATCCTGTGCAAACCTTTAGCAAAAGACACATGTAGAATAAAGTCATGATGATGAAATTCAATCAATTTAAGCTTATTTTTGGTTACTTTTTAAATTCCATTTAATCTAATTTGTCAGAAAACATGCCATTCAGCTTTTATTGGCAGTTTTCCAGAACCTGCAGCTTCACCCAACATGACAACGCGACTATGACAGGCTGAAGGTGGACCTCATGTTGGCTGTTTCCACTTCTCTGCTCGACTCCAACGTCTGTAAAGGAATTTAAAAACAACACTTAGATATGTGACTGAGGAGTAACAAAGGCCAGTCCAAGTCGCCGTGACTGTTGGGGCTTGCACATTTATCTTTGTGACCTCCATGTGAGCTTGGACCTTCTGTCAACAGAAGCAGTCTGCTCCTCCTGCTCGCCGCTTCCACGCTGCACTCATTCCCCAAAGAAACATTTCCACCATGAACTCACACTTGACATAAATTCCAGCATTTCACATGCACAACGTCCCCCGAAGACGCCGCGTATACCGCCATGCAAATGGCATGAGAGCGTGCCTGGCCAGGCACATGAGTTCTACTCTGTGGACCACCGCTGCATTCATCTTCTCGCTCACACTCATATTACTCTTCATGGTGCTCTGAGTCGATTAACAGCAGATTGTCTCATTTCCCCGGTGATGTAAAGTGTTATAGATTATCACTGAAAGAGCCTCGTGCACACAAGACAGACAACTGGAGAGAGCTGTGGGGCTGTCAGCAGGAGGAGGAGGAGGAGGAGGAGGAGGAGGA